TAGTAGCCCAAAGTGACACAATTAGCAGCTCAGAGTGACATAAGTGGTTGCCCAAAGTGACACAAGTAGTAGCCCAAAGTGACACAAGTAGCAGCCCAAAGTGACACAAGCAGTAGCTCAAAGTGACACAAGTGGTAGCCCAAAGTGACACAATTAGTAGTCCAAAGTGACACAATTGGTGGCCCAAAGTGACACAATTAGTAGTCCAAAGTGACACAAGCAGTAGCCCAAAGTGACACAATCAGTAGCCTAAAGTGACGCAAGTAGTAGCCCAAAGTGACATAAGCAGTAGCCCTAGTGACGCAAGTAGTCCAAAGTTACGCAAGTTTGTTTGTTTGTTGTTTAACGCTGCACTAAGCAATACAGACTGCGGTCTGTAAATAATCGAGTCTGGGCCAGACAATCCAGTGATTCGCATCATAAGCATCGATCTACGCAAAAGGGATACGATGACATACTTCAACCAAGTCAGCGAGCCTGACCACCCGATCCCGTTAGTCGTCTCTTACGGCAACCATAGTTGCTGAATACCTATTTTCACCCGGATCTTCACGGGTCGTGACGCAAGTAGTCCAATGTGGCGAAAGTATATTACGTCACAGCGGTTAAACCATGGGGAACGGGTTTGGTACTAACACACCTTGAAACATAATCGGGGCAAACCGGGATTCGAACCCTGTGTTCTCCAACATGGGACTTTCTGGTTTTGGGTAATGTCATACAAGCCAAGGTTCGGGGAAACCCGTGTTGCCATTTTTTGTTGGAACACAAAAGAGGTTTTAGCATGCATGTGGGCCCGTCCTGTTTGGGGCGGCCGGTGCTTCCCCCACCAGTTTCCTTGAGGTTTATAGGTAGGTTTGAGAACAGGGGAACATAAATAAACAGAAACTCGAGTGAAAACTAACAATAAGTGTTCTTACTTCTCCCCGTTACAAGTAAGTAGGCGGAAGTGTGTGTCTCAGTGGTGTAAAGTTGTACACGGTCCCATAATATATTGTCCTTGATTGATCAGTGCCACTCCCGTGTTCGTGGGTGATGCAGAAGTGGTAAGCTATACATACCACGTGAGTCATGACGGGCTTTACACCCAAAAACAGAAGAGTCGTGATTGGTGTAACTGAGATGAGTGAGTGAGTTGTGTTTAACGCCGCTTTTAACAGTATTCCAGTCATATCACGGTGTGTCAGCTTAAGTAGGAGGAAAGGTGGTGAGGTGAGGTGAAATTGGGTTTAACGTCGCGTCCAAGATTATTGCACTTATGTAGCGACGTGCATGCACGTGTGTGTGTGTGTGTGTGTGTGTGTGTGTGTGTGTGTGTGTGTGTGTGTGTGTGTGTGTGTGTGTGTGGCTGCTTGTACTAGTCTGGACTGATGCCGATTTATAGTGCTAGCTCACTGAGATACCATGCCGCAGTTTAACATGAATACCCCACTCAGACACAGTATACTGACTCCGAGCCGACCAGTCCTTGTTTTAGCCCCTTAATGCCGAGCGCCAGACAGGGTAACAACAAGTACCATCTTTTAACGTCTTTTGGAATGACGCGGCCGGGGATCGAACCCCGGACCTTCCGCTCTACCTCTAGGCCACGGAGGCGGTCTGTGGGATGAAAGCCTGAAGTAATGCAGGTCTTAGACGTTTACCACTTCGGTGAAACCCGCGAGCACGGGTGTGGTGCTGACAAACCTAGAAACATAATCGGGGAGAACCGGGATTCGAACATAGGCTTCTGGCGTGCCCAAGGGACGCAACTCTGCACAGCGAATCGCGGATACCTTAGACGACTGGGCCACCCGTGCCACCCGTAACTGAGATATTATTCGAAGCTTCTTTAACCGGAACTACCTCCATATATGTATACGTTTGAACAATACACACTGTTATACATGCGGGAACACGGTTGTCTCAGTTGTCAGAGGCGCCGCAATTCGCTGTGCAGAGTTGCGTCCCTTAGGTATGCCAGAAACTGATGATTGTGGGTTCGAACCCCGGTTCGCCCCACTTCTGTTTATGGATTTGTCAGCACCATACGCGTGCTGGTGGATTTCACCAAAGTGGTAAACATCTTAGGCCAACCTCACTTCAGGTTTTCCTCTCACATCAAGCTGACAGGCAGGATTACAACTGAAATACGTGTTAAATAGGGGTGATTATTGGTCTGAAAATCACTATTACGATAACTATTGATATTGCAAGCAACTATTGTGTTCAGGTGGATTTTAGAGTTGAACTAAACCTTGGAACTAAGTTTCCTTTGAATGTGATAACCATAACAACAAATAAAGTAAAGCTTGAGATATGACTGATTTGTTTTTTCTTTACCCTAATAATTTACGAAAAAGATTGCTACTGTAAATTACTTCCACTCATGATCAAAAGAAAAACAAATTTGAACAGCATTGCATGTATTTTATTGATATGGTAAATACAATCGAAACTTTCGATATTCCTAACTGAATTCGATATTATTGATCGGAAACTGATTTAACAATCGAGTTATTGACTTTTAGTGCTTACCAATAGCAATATATCGATATTTCGATTTATCGTGACACCCCTATTGTTATAATTGTGTGTTCTATTATTTTTTTTAAAAACTTGATGAGAGACCTGTCTTTTATTATTGGGGGTCGGGGTTAAGAGGGAATCAGGGTAGGGGCACCAAAACATATGACAGTCTCTATAAGGGAGGGTGATAAAAAATAATACACATATTTGGGAAGAGTCATAAGGAAAATATGTACAATGACAAGTGGGGGGTCGGGTCATCCAAAACTATTTCAAGCATTGGAGAGGATCATTATTTTCTGTACATTAGTACAGAAATATGTACGTTAGTACAGAAACCTCTGACCCGCCACCCCTTGTAATACATGACGGTCCCGTGCAGTTAATGTCGGACCTGCAGTCTGGGAAATTCGCAGATTTGAAATTGATTTATATGTTCAACAAACTCCAAAAACATAATCATTGATTAATTAGTAGTATATTAATTAAGATTTTGTTGGTGTGGTGATCATCCAATTTGATTGTATATCACTGAAAACCAATATCATGACAATATTTGTTATAATACTTTCCTCTAAGTAAGTCATATAGACATACGCTAAAAGACAAATCCCTTCCACTCAGATATATTCAATAACAATACATTACTGAGATCACTTTATAATTGATATATAATACAACTGATAACCCAGCTGTTAACTTTATAAGTTAATATTTCCGTCAGTACAACTTATTAAAAACTGTTTGCATGAGTAAATGGTCTAGTCCATTGATTTTCGCGTGAGATAAGGAAAAGATAGACTACTTTGATTATGTCACAAGCGAGATTTAAAGCTTTACAAATCGCCCCCATTTGAACAGAAAGCCCATCGCCCGAGAGCTGTGACGTCACACAATCACAAAGTGTGTGAACTGTCACGCGCAGATTTTTTTCTCACTGCATTAAATTTGGGTTTAGTTTCTACACCTTTCACGGGCACAACTTTTATTTGTGTCTTTTTCCAACAAGGACGCTGAACAACGCAAGAAATTAGTGCGTTTTAACAGCACGGTACGTTGTATGATTATATACCAACCACATGGACTCGCTTCCACTCTTGACACACACACTGACATCGCGAAACTGACACGACCCGGTGTCGACACAAATATATGCCTTTGGAAATACGAAGTTCGACAGCGTGACAGTTGATTGGCTTTGAAATCATAGACACTGGCATTTCAGCTTAAATGAAACGCCATTTATTGTCGATAGTAGGAAAACCTTTAAAAGTATCAATAATTGAAAAACAGGACAAATATAAAGGCAGTGATGACATTAACTGCCAGGCAGTGTTAAAACGAGGATAATGAATAACGGCGTTTGATGACGTGTTAAAAAGAAGTAAGGGATCTGTAAATAATTATTCACTAAATGAGCATCAAATTCATAATTATGATGACTATGTTACCAGCAACCTAACCGTCGTACTCTGATTCATTAAGTTTCGTGAATTATCCGTAAACATAATCATAAATTTATTTCAAAATATTCCATCAGATTGTTTCACAAAGACTAAATCACATGACGCAACCAGGCAGCTATAATTGTTCATACAAACAGACAACCGATGTTATTGATCGGCTCATGTATAAGACTTACAACTAAGGAGTACGTGAAAGGCTTCGAAATACTGAAAAACACATTACACTGTCAAACTCGTCTCTGCAATGGCAAAATCAAACACAGGAAAAGAAATCTTATTGTTTCCCTCCATGTGGCGGCTTCGGGAGAAGGGTTGAAGTTCAAAAGTATATGTCTCCATATTCTAGCAAATATTAACATGACGCGAACGGCTATGACTTGATTCATTTAGTACTGTAGAGTACTGTGCCTGAGTTAATACTTTGGTATTGACTCGTATCCCAAATTCCGATGAGTATTTATAAGGAGTGTATATTGTATATGCAGGTTTTACCTGCCAGAATGCCAGTCTGATCGCATTTCTGCAGTACTTCAAAATCTGGGATGGGTTACCACACGCCGAAACAAAACACCGTTGTCTTGTATACGAACTTAATGGATATCTCTGACGCACGCTTCATATTCAAATTGTATTTCACAGATATAATATTGATATGTTCAATAATAATTTCTAATGGTATTTTGGAAAGACTTTGTGTTTAATATTCATTTGTATATAATTAGCTTATCAGCTTTATGTACATGAAACACCTCATGCGCGTGTATTTACATTGCTAATGTATATTTATATCATGAATGTGTGTCGCTTTGGCGAGTGTTGAAGTCCGAAGTCAGTTTGCCTCATGCATGGCACTCCGTGGGTGTACATGAATGTTGAAATACGGAAATATATACGTCATAGTTTGTTGCCAATCACGGTTGTGACTGGGGTGAAATGTTAGCGGTCACCGAGGGTCAGTAGCGCTACTGCGATTGGGCGACATAACCAGACGAAGGAGAGAGAGCCCAAGCAATATTTGCACACGCGAGCATATTTCATTCACACGGATCTTTTCTTACGGGGATCAAACTGTGTGTACACTGCAAAAGATGGCGGCGTGGTCTGAAAGCTTGTTGTCTCGGTAGACAGTTTCCGGGTATTTCACCGGAATTAGTGTACTGTAGGCCATCCAAAATGACAGAACAGTGTGGATGAGGAGGTTTGTTCGATGCAGGCGATAAAGCGATATATTTGGGTGTCTGTATGTGGTTTTCTCCTTGTTGTGGTTTATTTATGTCTGGTACGGCGAAATGGTGGTGAAGGTACCATATCCCAAATCGGGACCCGAGGGTTTCTCGACCCAAGTGACTACCATGGGTTTTCCGAGGACTACCACACATCTCCAAAACGGAGGAGAGCTACAGCCACACAGCATAAAAAACAGAGGTGCCGAATGGAAACGTGCTTCAACTTCAACCTCTGCAAAAATGGTTTCAAAGTTTATGTGTACCCGCGTCAAAACGCTTACCCAATGTCAAACTCATATTCTAAGATCCTCACATCGGTACAGGAGTCGCGGTTTTATACGCCAGATCCCAAGGAAGCATGTGTGTTTATTCCCGCCATAGACACTCTGGATCAAGATGTGCTTAGTGTAGATTTTATTCGAGATGTACAGTTAAAGTTAGAAGCGCTCCCATACTGGAACAATGGGAGAAACCATATTATATTTAATCTCTATTCCGGTACTTGGCCGGATTATGTGGAAAATTTAGGTTTTGATATAGGTGAAGCAATCTTAGCCAAAGCTAGTATGTCAATTTGGAAATTTAGGCCAGGATTTGACGTTTCTTTCCCTCTTTTTGCCAAAGAACACCCTCAAAAGGGGGGTGAAAAAGGTTACCTCGGTGCCTCATCAAATAATATCCCTTCATCAAGAAACTACCTTCTAGCATTCAAAGGGAAGCGGTACCTCACTGGGATAGGATCGGACACGAGGAATGCATTGTATCATATTCATAATGGAAAGGATATTGTGTTATTGACAACTTGTAGACATGGGAAAGGGTGGCAGAAGAATAAAGATGCTCGATGTGAGAAGGATAATTCAGAATATGACAAGTAAGTTTTTCCCTTTCATTTGCTCATCAACATGTATGGTGTGAATATGGATGACTTAAAAGTATCCCGATTACATGCCGTGTGTTGAAATAAGACCATGTGGTGTGGCAATGATTTAACCTTAACATGTTTTCAGCTGACACACATGCGACATCGACACAGAGAATGTGTGTCACATTAATGATCATCGGACAGTCTATTACATGCAGACTGCACACAGCCGAGATTTACAGCATGAAAAGTTTCCTCCACGCTACACCATCCTGCTGGTCTAAATGCATTTTGTATTATGTACAGTTGTCTCACGGGGCTGAGTGTCCTCTACCTTAGCTTCAATGGGCACAACTCTCAAGTGCATTGGCATTCATCCATAAACTTGTGAAGTTGCATTTCAAGCCCCACCCACCTGTTCACCTGTATATCATAAAACGTTAACCAGTCCATGCCCAAGTACAGGCCAATCAACAGGAAACATGTTCCTCTATGACTGCCCTCGAGAAATAAACTGCAGGTTATTCTGTGGTGAAAATATTTTGTTGGCAGTGTATTGTCTGATCCATTCAATATATTCTTCACCTGCCTCCTCCCCACCCTCCACCCCAGGACACAAGGATGTGACAGTGGGTTACGGAGTAAGCGGTTGCTTGTAGCACTGGTGATCTTTGTTTATTTCTTGTGATTTTAAAAAAATATTTTAATCAACTATTGGCCCTTGACTGAAGCCCCTCCACCCCCGCTCCACTCCCAAACTATTCCTGTCTTGTTCTTCATCTATCATGTTTTGGGGGTAGCCTGGTGGGTGGTTCACTCTTCATGCCGATGACCCGAGTTTGATTCCCCACGTGGGGACGATGTGTGAAGCCTATTTCAGACTTGATTTTGCAGGAATATTGCTAAAATCGGCATAAAAACATACTCACTCACTCTGCTCTTCCCTACTCACTCACTCTGCTCTTCCCTACTCGCCTACTCCTGACCCTAAGCCCCACCCACCACTTCCCAGCTACTCCACACACTCATCACCTCCACTTCCCCAGATATCCTCCTCCCCCCCCCCCCCCCCCCCCCCCCCACACACACACACACATTTCTCCAGATATCTCACTCACTCACTCACTCACAGACAAACACACACACTCCTATCTCCATCTTCCTCCCCCCCCTCCCCCCCCCCAGGCTGTTCCTACACTTGATTACCTTTAATGTATAAGAGCCCTCTATCCCCTGTTATTGATTGCGTATTACCTAGGGTATTAATCTCTCAGGTGTCACACACAGCTGTGTATTACTGCTAATTAGCTGTTGTCTAGGTGTTAACAGTTTGGTTGATTCACTCTGTTTATTTATTCATGGATTTGAACAGTTACATGGTCCCAGTTAGCACTTAATAAAGGCTGACTTGATGTTGCCTATTTCAGTTAAACATTCCTTAGCATCCCTTGCATCTCATTTGGGAGTTGCCAATTTCAACTGTCAATCAAATCAATAAGCATGTATATTGCATGTATATTTCAAGTATATTACAATATATTGCATGTATATGGCATGTGTGGCATATATTCACAGTAGTTAACAGCCAAGTGTACAGATGCCCTGGTTTACTTAGCTGTGACGTAATTTGTACCTTGCTGTGTGATCGAAAGTACATAAGTGATGTGTAATTGAATTTCACACATCCTGCACCAAACTCCTGCCCTCACACTGATGGATGAATTGAAGATTGATTCTTCTACAGCAAATACACTTACACAGAGCAAGCCTTTGTCATGCAGCATCCCCAGACATACTGTTACCTGACTGGCCATGTCCATGTAGATCCAGTTGTTACAGTGCAGTTACTGTGGCAGACGTCATACATTGTTACCATTAATGACATGCTTGGCAACCATGTGGATAATACCAAGGCTTGCAGTGTGTTCACTTCAAGTTATCTGGTCAGGTCACTTACAACATATAATACATTCTGTTACATTCAATTAGATTTATGGGTTGTATATGTAGGTATCTTCTAGTTGTAGTGTTTTATTCTATGGGCTCTAGATATCTTTGTGTTTTTGTGTTGGAAACAATGTGAAACAAATTGTATGACCAAAGATGTTGCATATGTATTTTCCTAATGGCACATATTTTCTGTAGAAAATGTCCAAACTTTGGGAGAAGTGACAGAGTAGTTGTATGTTGGTATTGTCAGGGCCATATGTTTTTTATTTATTGGTTTATGAGACCGATTGAAGAAAAAACCCTGAAATTTCTTTTAAAAAATGGTATTACTTCTGACAATTTATTTTTGGTTGACCATGTTGACTCAGTTTTATGATTTGGTGCAATGAAAAAGATCATGAGATTTCATCACTGCTGGTCATAAGAAATAATGAATATGTAAAAATCTTTATTCCAGCCGGAAATAAAATCTATTATCTTTTGCTATCATCCTTCCTTGATGGTGTCACGTACAAGTTTGTTTTTCGTTCTTTAGTAGCAGTTTGAATCTGAAAGTTGATTGTTTTGGGGACCGTCTACATTGAATATCAGACCCAAAGGTTATTACAGCAAATATTATGAAATATGAGGACAAGTGTTTATTTGATACAGTGTTACTGGTGACCATGGAAGGATCAATCTTGTTTTAAACACTTCAGCAAAAGAGCCTCACAGATTTCCAGACAAGTGTTTCAGAATTGAAGTTTGTGTATCTGACAGCATGTATGAGAGCAATTCTGTGACAAAGACAAAGTATTGGTATCTCGGACCATTTCAAATTCAAATTAGATTGGAGTCAAAGTTTCCTTGTCCTAACCCAAATGTTAAGAATACAAGAATTTACATACACATGTTCAGGGGACCCCATGTCCCCTTTAATTCTAACACTGAAAGGGGGCACGGGTGGCCCAGTCGTCTAAGGCGCCGCAATTCGCTGTGCAGAGTTGCGTCCCTTAGGCACACCAGAAACCTATGATTGTGGGTTTGAATCCCGGTTCGCCCCGATTATGTTTCTAGGTTTGTCAGCACCATACCCGTGCTCATGGGTTTCACCAAAGTGGTAAACGTCTGAGACACGCATCACTTTGGGCTTTCCTCCCACATTAAGCTGACACGCCGTGATATAACTGGAATACTGTTAAAAGCGGCGTTAAACCCAACTCACTCACTCACTCTAACACTGAAAATTCACATGTATTTTTACAATACGTGCTATTGAAACAGTAGTTGACATAAGCTTAAGAGGCACAAGTCCGATCCGTAGTCTTGGAAAGTTGTACAAACGGCCAATTAAAGATCTGTATGATGTTTCAACAAATTAGCACTCATGCAGCGTCCCAAATTAACGGCACATACCTGAAGTCCATTCCCAGTGTGGCGGTAGTCATGTCTAACAATATGCAGGTAGTTTATTGACATTTCACATCATGGCGTAACAGGGAGCTGTCCGCTGCTGGGGAAGATCACAGGGTTGTTGTTTTGAGACAACCTACTGTGTAGGTCTGGGAGTTGAGTGAACTTGTCAAGGGATGGGCTAATAATCACTAGGCCATTCAGACCCAGGCAGACCTATGTGATAGTTCAAGTTGAATAAACAAATACAACTAGATTTCCTTGGGGCTGGAGGAGTCACTTGTTAACATGGGTTTATCAAAGCAGTAGACAGACAGTAACGCATTAATAATGTAACGACCTTAATACCAGTCTGACGGACTATTGAGTAATTGCTTTCTTACTCTGTGACACTTGCTTGTATCTTGTTCGTGTCAATGCTTGCAGTACAAATTACTGGAGTTCAAAGAAAGTGACTGTAAGATGTATGACAAGAATGGTTACAGTATTTTCAGCGTTATGGTATTTCTGCTTTGTTATTGGTGTTACAGTGCTTGACTTTACTTGATGTATAGAGCTTTTCCATGTTGTAGCCGCAATCCCTGGTGGCCATGCTTTCATGGGATTATGGGCATGTATGTCATAGCAGTCTGTACATGTGTATATCATGGCATTATGTGCATATGTATATCATGGCACATGCACGTATATCATGGCACATGCACATATATCATGGCACATGCACGTATATCATGGCACATGCACATATATCATGGCACATGCACGTATATCATGGCACATGCACGTAGATCATGGCACATGCACATATATCATGGCACATGCACGTATATCATGGCACATGCACGTAGATCATGGCACATGCACGTAGATCATGGCACATGCACGTAGATCATGGCACATGTACGTATATCATGGCACATGCTCGTATATCATGGCACATGTACGTATATCATGGCACATGCACATATATCAAGGCACATGCACATATATCAAGGCACATGCACATATATCAAGGCACATGCACGTATATCATGGCACATGCACGTATATCATGGCACATGCACGTATATCATGGCACATGTACGTATATCAAGGCACATGCACGTATATCATGGCACATGCACGTACATCATGGCACATGCATGTATATCATGGCACATGCACGCACATCATGGCACATGCACGTGCATTATGTGCATGTATTTCTTGGCATTGCATGCATATACCATTTTTTTCTACGGAAGACAATCATGTTTTTATTGCAAACATAGGGATTGTGTATGTGTTTGGGATGTGCTTCATTCTGATTTGCTTTATAGACGGGATAGATACATTAGCATTGATTCTGAAGGCTTTACAGGGGGGTCGCCTTATACATGGGGTCACTTTATACACGGTATATCATAATATCAGTAATATAAGACATTTCCTTTTATGCATAGTATTTTGAAACTCTCAATTCAGGTGTATAAAACTTTAAAATAATATTTGGAAAATGTACAAAATATTTTGTACTGATTAGAATAAAGGATAGACTGGTTGGACTTCTCATGACCGATGAAATCACCACCATATATTTTCCAAAACATCAGCTGGAATATTCCTCGGTTCACTTATTTTACATGTTTCTTTGGAGCATGATATCTGTTACTGTTATTGCCTGAATG